AAGGTCAAACAGGCCAAAAACATTCCTCCCCAGGACCGTAGCATTTGTTTTTCTGCCTGGACTGCTCTTCCCCCCAGATAACTGAATGGTTCACACTATTACTTGTTTCACATGATGCTTTCCACAAACAGGCCATTTATTACACCTCAACTAAAGTTAACACTTTCGGGGGATCCCTGGGTGGCTCAGCGGTTTAGCGCCTGCCTTTCACCCAGGGCATGATCCTGGAGTCCCAGGATCGAGTCCCACATCGAGATCCCTGCATGGAGCCTGCTTCTCCTTCGGCCTGTGTTTCTGCCTCTCTCTGTGTCTCTCATGAATAAATAAATAAAATATTTTAAAAAAATAAAAAAAATAAAGTTAATACTTTGTCTTTCTGGCACTGTAAGCTCTTACTCTGATTATGCTTTGTCTTCACAGCACATCACCTTTTTTTTTTTTTTTTTTTTGGCATGGTGTCCATCTATCCTAAAATGTAAAGTAAACTCCACGAGGTTAAGAACTCTTTTTTTGTTCACTGCTGTATCCTCAATACCTAGAAGCGTATCTGGTACATGGAGGGCATACAATGATCTGTTCAGTGACTGAATTTGCAGACTGAAGCAGCAAAAACACATTTTTCAGTGAAATATGTACTCATCCAGCATACTTAAAAAAAAATTACAATAAAGAATTAGCAATTTAGACAAAAACCAAGTCATTATTTTACAAAATTACCCGTTCATCAAAAAGACCACAAATTCATAGGACAAAATACATATGCTGCATTATATATGTAAATCCTTTCAAATACTACAGTTTAAAGTTAACTATGAAGTTAACATTCACATGGAATTAACCAAGCCTCTGAGTTCTCTTCATCCTACCTGATTCCTTAATCTTACATCTTAACTAGTATATGTGGACATCACACAGGTCCCTTCAATACTCAAAACCCTATACATCTTTCCTCAATGCCAATATATTTCAGTTGACAATAACATCCATCTCATGCCCCAAGAAACTTCCATCTTCTTCCTACCCCAGGGTTAGTTACTAGGTTCTAAATTCTGCTTCCTAGGTATCGTTCAAGCCCTTACCTCTCACTTGGACATCTCACTTGGAATCTCCAGATCTTCCATTCAGAATACGTCTAATATTCACTACAATACCACCAAAGTGACCTCTCCATAAATCCACCAACTTTACTCCTCAAACAACCTTCAGTGGTTCCATGTATCTTTCAAGAAAATTTTCAACTCCCTAACTTAGCCTATCTCCCATCACTGCCCTCCTATTCCCACTCCAAATACATTATGCTTTACATTAGGCACAGTTAACTAACAGTTTCCAAATACATCATCTTGGTTTTTTCCATTTTCCTAGATGCAGTCCCCTTTCTGCCTCAAACGCTTTTCTACCCTTCTTTGCCCAATCAAAACTTTAACACTTAGCTTAGATGTCAATTCTACCAGAGAACTTTCCATGACTGATTTAGATGTCCTCTTCTGTCCTCCCACAGCACTTACCACAATTACTGTATAGTGCAGTCAACACTCTTATAATTCAGTATGTGCTGTTGTGCTTTATTTTTCTCCGTCTTCTACTGGATTGTGAACTCCTTGAGAGCAGATCTGATAGCTTACTGACCTTCATTCCACACTGACTGATGCATGCAAGTTGTTGTTGTCAAATGAATGATTTATGAAAGGGGGTGGGGGAAGAGGAATAAAGAAGAGAAAGAAAAAGGGTAGATGGAGTGACAGTAGACAAAGGAAGGCAGAGGGAAGAAGTGAATAAAAAGAAGAAGAAGGTGAAAAAGGAAGGGAAAGAAAGAAGGAAAAGAGGAGCAAGGGAAAGAAAAGGGAAAAGGGAGAGGAGAAGAAAGGCATAGAGGGGTGAGAACATGCACATAAGCAAAGGGCGTTTGTAATCGATCCATTATTTGTATGCGTTCTGACGCTAGTGATTCCTGAAGAGTATGGTACATCTGAAAAAACTCCATCTCCCCGAGCTTCTAAGCACAACCATCTAAATCACTTATTCCATAAAGATTCTGAAATCTCTAGCCTCTCCAGCTTCTCCCACTTCACTTGAAAATTTACTGCAACGTAATGAGAGATGTTAATAACATGTACAATGTATAAACAAGAAAACAGTTTTAGTTAGAAAAAAGTAGGAAATGAATCTGACATAATTAAGTCTTGGAATCATTTACAAACTTTTAATAATCTAGGATTTCCTGATAATGTGCTATTACTGATACTGGAAGATCTATAAAAAGTATAAAAAATAAATCCAACATAACCCCAATATCATGACCTATGTTAAGAACAAAACTGCTTTTGTGTTACAGTGCTATTTCTCAAAAACACACTGGGCAAAAATATTACAAGACAGAATACGCTAGTGAGTAAAGAGACTTTATTTTAATAAACTCTTGAATACTACAGCAAAATTGTTTCTAAAACACGTAACACTTTAAATGAGATATACATTTTTATTTTGGGACTTTAAAGCAACAACCAGAAAAGTATTACTAAACATTCTTTCAATGGCATCAATAGACTGTCACTTAATAAAATTTAAAAATTTCTTGTGACTAATAAAGCAGATAATAAAAACCTAAAAGCTGCCTCAAAGTACAAACATGTTTTGTTAGATCTGATAAATAGCATAAATCCTTCTATAACTCAGTTGTCATTACAATTTACAAACAGGGAATACAAGAAAAAAGAAAACTTACGCCTAATATAATCACTACTAAATACTTTTTGAATTGCAACTTTGTTAAAGCAAAATACCAATTATGGGCAGCCTCTCAATATTCACCATGTAAGAAATTAAGTTCCAAGAAATGAGCTAATTTGTAGTACTGCTGACTGCCAGTGTACTCCCGTTGAGAAGGCTCACTATATATACAGTAACAGGAAGTTCTTCTTGTATAAAATTAGAAATTTTCTTTAATAATTCCTTCCTTTCAACATTACTAGTACCCTTTTTCAAAAAGCAATAATAATGGAAATGCTAAGCACTTAAAATTACTAGTTCTAAAATGACACCAAAAAATTTGCATTTGCCAAATACTATGAAACTTTTAAGGCTAAAGTTTCCAACGTACTTTCATTTTTTAAACATGCAAGTTTAAAAAAAAGGGAAATGAAAGGAAGAAAAGGCAAGAAAAGAAAATTTAAATCTTAAGGACCTCCAACTTACTACATTTCTTTTAATCAAACATTGACAGAGTACCTAAGATATACACCGGGAACTACAACAGATTGCAATACCTATCACAAACTAAATTCTCTTATTCAGCTTCTGAATTTATTATATGTTATTCAACCCAATGCCTTTCTTAAGAAATTCTCACCCAATACCAAGGAAGATATACGGTTTTCCTTAAAAAATTCACTTGTCACTGTTTTATACAGGTCACAAGAGTTATAGCTAGCATCTGTGAATAACAAAAGGGATTTGTTTCTGAAACATCATTGATTGTATTTTTCATTTACATGAAGGTGAGACAGAAAAATTCAGCAGATATTTTCAGTTTATAGCACCCCAAACTCAAGAAGAAAAAAATCTAAAAAAAAAAAAAATCTACAACTAACCTTAATAAGTTTATATAGCTGATAAATATTTTAGTCACAGCTTTTATTTTCTTCCATAAACACAAGCATTACAAATTTTCATTTAGATGCAGTACTATAAAAGCAGAAAATCCTAAAAGTTGTTTTCAAATAATTCCAAGGAACTACCAAAAGTAGACATTTATATTTTCACATACTATTCTATGCATTTCTATACTTGTGAACACACCCTACCCTTTCAAGCACTTCTGAATTTGTCACGAATGAAAAATATCTCTAGTCTCTAAGTTCCACCAGTTGAATCTAGACATGTCAGATATCAAACTAAGGCTTTTTATTCTCCGATGTATTCAAGATTGACAGCATTCAATTACATATACCAAAAAAAAAAAAAAAAAAAAACCCAAAACCAACCTATACTTTCTTTCCTTGCAATAATTTGTTCCACGAACTAAGTAAATTCTACTTTTTACACACTATCCTCCATTCAGTTAACATGTTTATATTTAAGAGGAACCTGGCAATGGGTTTTCCACATCAATCCACACTGGTTCTATTACAATATCTGACAATTTACCGACTAAAAGGATCAAAGAAAAAATAAACCAAATAATCCTAAATCCCAGGAAATACAAGGAAAAACTGAGGTGTGTAAAGATTCTCTTCAAAAATCTCTCGACTCAGATTATTTTCATAGCTTACCAAATAGGTCTTCTGCTAAAAACTCACAACACTGTTCACACAATAAACGAGATTTTCTTTCATCAGTGTAATCGATAGAACCACAATACAGTTCAGTTTCTGGAGTCAGATTACTTGACCTGCTTTTTCTGTTTTACCTTTTAAAATACTCCATTTCATGCAATTACTCCTGCCTTACCCTGCAAGAAGAGACGGTCTATATGGGAGAATTATGCTCAGTGTGACATCCTGTAAGTGGCCCCAACTCCACAGCAAAGCCGACAGAGCCACACCAGCTGACCCCCATCGTCTTCCGGGAAACGGGCTCCGGCACCCCGCCACCAAACACACCTTCCTCGGCAAAACTCGGAGGCCCCACACACGGCCTCCACCAAACCCCCCTGTTCTGTAACCCCGGAGGTCGGTTTCCGTAAGCAATCCTACCTTCATGATGATTCCGGGACCGCGATCCCCTCGAAAACACCAGATTCACCTGCACCTGGAGGGGAAACAAAAGACACCCAGTCAACACTACAGGCACCCCTCTGCACCGGCGGGAGTGCAGGGAGCCGGGCGAAGCCCGAACCCCGAAGAGCGAGCCGTAGCGGGCGTCAGCCCCGGACCCGCGACACGCCGACGAGGGGGCGCCCCGCGCGCGGCCTCGCCAGCCCCGCAAACCGAGCCACCTACACAGCTCGGCAGCTTCCCGTCCCCATTGTCGGGACCCGACGGAGTTTCCCGTCTCCGACAATGACGCCATTTCTGTCAGAGAAGAAACTCACAACAAGCCCCGGGGCCGGCGCAGGGCCGGCTGTCCCCACCGGGGGCCTCTGGGCCCCGCCGAGCGGCTCGGCGCCCCACAGGGTCGCGCAGGCCCCGGCTCCAGGGGCCCCGGGTGGGGGCGGCGGGAGGCCAGGCGGGCCGGAGCGCCGCGGGCAGGACGACCCGCCGCACAGCCGCTGCCCACGTCCCGTTCCCAGGCGGAGGCCGGACAAGTGCGAGCGGGATCCCCGGCGGCCGGGCCGCGGGGGCCGCCAAAGGTCCGAGGGGCCGGCAGACTGCACGGCCCCCCGTGCCGGCCCGGGCCCCCCACCGCGGCCCAGAGCCGCTAAACCGCTGAGTGTGCGGCCGCCAGGATGGGGGGCGACTCGCACTCTGCAACTGCATGGGGGCGGGGGCTCCCGGGAGGCCGAGGCCCCGAGCCCCAGCGCCCGGCGAGGCACCGAGCGATCGGCCCCCGCTCCTCGGCCGGGCCGGGTGACTCCCGAAACGACCCCCTCACGAGACAGCGAGAGCCTCAGAAAATGCCCCTACCTTCCGCGGAGGCGAGCTCTGACCCTGGCACGGCCAGAGTTCCCTCCCCTACTCCCCCCCAAAACCAGTAGGCCCGGGGGAGAGATGGGGGAAGAAGGGCGGCGGGTCCAGCGGTTGCTGAGGCTGAAGCTCCGGCTCCTCCTCCTCCCGCGGCGGCGACTGGTACCTTTGTTTGGCGGCCGCTCGGGCTCCCTCGCTGGGGGGAGGGGGGGACGACGAAAAATCCCTCCCGGACTGGAGGTCCGGGCCCCGAATCGCGCTGCCCTCCAGAGGACGGCAGCGCCAGACCCTCTGCGGCTCCCTCCGGGCAAAGGTCCAGGCGGTGGCCGTGGCGGCGGCAAGCTTAAGCTCAAGACTCTCCCTCCGCTCCGGCGCCCGAGCTCCTCACTCCGGACTCGACTGACGGGCAAACATCGCTCCCCCCCCCTCAGTGCCCCCCTCCCTTCTCTCTCCCCTCCCCTAGATGCTTGCCCCTCCCCTACCTCTTTCCCGGATGGCCTCTTAGACGACCTCGGATTGGTTAGCGTTCTTTAGAACCCGCCTATATCCCATTCTTATTGGTCCTCGGAATACAAACAACGACGCCATTTTCCCACCACTTCTATGGAAACTGAAAGTTACTCCTCAAAGCTTGCCGGGAAGTGTAGTCCAACCTCTGGGGCCAATGCGCAAGCCCTTGCCCAGGAGAACTGCAAGACCCGCAATGCCCCGCGCCTGCGTGGGACGAGGAGCGAGGGGGAAGGAGAGGAGGCGGGGCGACAAAGCAGAGGGGAGGCGGCGACGACGCCTGCGCAGTGTGACCGGGATGGCGCATTTTCTTGCTTCGAGTAATGCAGTGTCGCTGGTGGCTGAGGAGGGTGGAGAGTTCTGTGGTGAAGCAAGGGGAGGGACCCATGTAGACGTCAGGCGGAGCCTTGGTCAGAACTATAAAGTGGGAAGTTGATGCTGGGTACTACTACTCCCGGACCGGCAACGCGAAAAGTTGTGATATCACCGTTGAACCGTGAGCGGCTGTGGTGGCGGCCGGGGGGGGGGGGGGGGGGGGAGGGAACCCGGATGGGAAATGAGGGCGGGGGAGGCTGGAAGGCGGGGTCGAGAGGAAAGAAAGAAAGGAGGGTGAGGACCCGGATGCTGAACCGGATTGTGTATGAATTTTCCGTACTTGCTAGAGCAGGGGAGGAGCGGTAGGTGATCCGGTGCGGCGGAAGGGGGCATCTGAGCGGAGAGGAAGCAGGAACCTCACTGACCCTGCGGGCTTCGTACGAGTAGAGGAATCGCGTGAAGCGGTTTTGCCAAGTCTCTTAAAAACCTGCCTTGAAGTTATTTAAATCTATTGCTTGTATCTCGGGCAGTTTTCTTCAGCTCTGTCATCTCCCAAAGTTTGCGTGGAAGGACTCACTCTGCGTTTCACAGCCAAGCTTACGTTTGTATATCACTATTTAGCAATTTTGAAACCAGATCATTGCCGGGGTGTGGGGGAGGGGGGAAATTGCATGGTATTTTTATCTTTTTATAGTGAAAGCGTATGCCCTGATTTCATCCTCTAGCGCGTTTCCGTTGGTTCATTCAGTCGTTCACAAATTTGTTGAGTGCCTACCATGTAAAAAAACGGTGCAGACAGGAAGTAAAGTGGACACACGAGTGTGACATTGGTAATGGTGGTGAGTAATACAAAGGAGAGTTACGTGATGCTTTAATAGAATAGGGGCTTTGGCTTAAGGGAAGCAAAGTGAGAATCGAGCTAAGAGTGAGTTAGCAGGAGTTAACTATGGAAAGAAGATTCCAGACGGAGAAAATAGCATGTTGGAAAGCCAGGTATCTAGAGGGAACTTTAATAAAAGTTTGAAGAACTAACGTCGTCATCGTCCTCATAAAAAGATAAAGTCTGAGGAACTGAAGAGGGGGAAGAAAGCCGGAGAGTCGCCCAATCTTTAAGGAGCTTTGTTCTTACCTGAGAGTAAAGGGATGTCTTCGCAGGGTTCTCAATCGGTAGGGAAATAAGGCCAGATCTGAATTTTGCAAAGATTCCTGGCTGAAGAATAGAGGTCTGGATTAGAGGGGCAAATGCAGGGAGCCCAGCCAGGCAATTATTTCAATAGTAGTCCACATTGAGGGGACAATCTGTTTTTATTAATATTCGTCCGTCAGGGATCCCTGGGTGGCGCAGCGGTTTAGCGCCTGCCTTTGGCCCAGGGCGCCATCCTGGAGACCCGGGATCGAATCCCACGTCGGGCTCCCGGTGCATGGAGCCTGCTTCTCCCTCTGCCTGTGTCTCTGCCTCTCTCTCTCTCTCTCTCTCTCTCTCTCTGTGTGTGTGTGTGTGACTATCATAAATAAATAAAAATTAAAAAAAAGAAAACCCTTTAAAAAATATATATATTCATCTGTTAATTGTGTGAACAAATTTAAGGCAGTTTTCCTGTTTTGAAAGGGAGTAGTTTCAGACTCTCTCACAGATCCATTCTGTAGTCATTCAATCTAAATAAAAATAAGTTAGTATATCTTGTGTAACACTGACACCTTTTTATTTGAATCTAGTATCTGATGGCTGAAATTTCCAGCTATAATAAATAGGAGTCCTTTGCATTAAAAAACAAAACAAAGCAAAACAAAAAAACAGGGAGGGCATAGGCCACAGTTTGTAGAACCCGTTAGACTTAAGACAAAACATTACTTTTCAATACCTAGAAAAATTGCGGTTCCTCTGTTTTCCCACCACTGAGAATACTTACATATAAACATCCTCTAGGAAAGGAACATTAATTGACTCACTTGTTAAGTGAGTGTTCTTACGGTAATTTTTTAAAAGCCTTAAGAATTGAAACACAGGTTAGCTCTGACTTCTGGGCAAGAATATACTTGTCTCCAGAAGGACATAAAAGAGTTATTGAAAGGTGGATTTATTCACTTTAAAGTTAAGTGTGTTCTGGAGGCTGTGAAAGAATAAACATGATTATGTCAACCTAATTGGGAAGAGATAGCTACCAACTTTTAAATTCAGAAGTATGTAAGAGATGCCTTTTTAAATTGTTTATCCTACATTTAATTGTTGTAATCTTTTGTGTAAGTGATTATTTTTCCTGCTTGTCATCTTTTTTTAATCTCCCAAGAATGAGGTAATGTGTCAAAGTTTAAATTGTGTAAATAAGAAATTACTGAACTGATTTTTAGATAATTTCAAAATATCTTTTCAACTTTTTTTCCCCTTGTGACATGCTGAGTATTGTCGGTTAAGGCAGGTTTAAAACTATCTACATGGAACGTTTCTCTTTGAGGTCATATTGCTAAGATGATTTCCTTTGCTGGAGTGCTCAATTCTTATGATTGTTTCACCTAGGCACTCAAGAGATTACAAAAAACACACTTCGGTTCATGATCCTACAGACCAAATCTTTTTTAAAGAAGCAAAAGAAAGATAAACTTGAGAAACTTTCTAAAATGCCAAAATGTCAGAGCAGTTAGAAAAAAAGATTCCTAAGATAAGAACAAATAAAAATAGCAATAGATACTTGGAAGGAAACAAAGTAGGGATTGGATTCAACAGTAAAGAAGGATTGTAGGAAATACCGAAGTAAATGTAAAACTCAGATAATAAATCACTACAGGAAGGGACCCCTGGGTGGCTCAGTGGTTGAGCGCCTCCCTTCCGCGCAGGGTATGATCCTGGAGTCACTGGATCGAGTCCCGCATTGGGTTCCCTGCATGGAGCCTGCTTCTCCCTCTGTGTGTCTCTGCCTCTCTCTGTGTCTCTCATGAATAAATAAATAAAATCTTCAAAAATAAATAAATCACCACAGGAAAATGTGTGTGTGTGTGTGTGTGTGTAGATACAAGGTAATATTTTTTATAATTGCATTAAAGTTAATGCACATCTTAAATTAGAATCTTTGAAATGGGTTGATTTCTTTATAGAAAGTAGGAGAGAGGAGTTTTTGCTGTATATTTTAAATATATAAAATTTATTCATCTTAATGCTCACTGAAAAAAGTATGTTTACTAATTTTGTAATCAATTAAATAATAGGATCTAATTCTTTGGATTTGTTTTGACAGTGATTTGATGTCAACAATTTAAGCTTTTATGGTTGAGTAAAATAAGAAAGGCTTAATACAACTTTTGTAACTAAGGAAATCACTTAGAGTCTAGGTGAACTTTGACCAATGAAATACTTGAAGATTTTCCTTTTTTTTTTTTTCCCCTTATAAGAGGTAATCAACATATATAGTTCACCCATTTAAAGTACATATGTTAGTATATTCACAGGGTTGTGCAACCATCACCACAATCTAATTTTAGAATATTTTAATCCCTACGAAAAGAAACTTCGTACTCCCTATTCTTCCTGCCCCAATGCTAGGCAATCTCAATCTACTTTCTGTCTTTATAGATTTTCCTATACTGAACATTTCGTATAAATGGAATATAATTTGTGGTCCTTTGTGACTGGCTTCTTTCACTTAGCCTGTTTCTAGATTTCATATATGTAGAATTTTCTTATAAAGCAAAACTGAAAGTCTGCCTGCACAAAAACACCTTGAGGTACAAATTCCTTTGCATTTGAAATTCAAAATTAATTTAGTTAATAAGATTATATTTCTCCTTTTTCACAGATCAGCTTTGAAATTTAAAAACAATGGAGAAGACTCAAGAAACAGTCCAAAGAATTCTTCTAGAACCCTATAAGTATTTACTTCAGTTACCAGGTAACTGTTTAGTTATGGTCCATATAGGGTCTTGTTATAGAGTAGTGGTCATTCAAACACTAGCATACAGAAAAGATTAGACTTACCAGCTCTTAAGATTTCCTCTTTAAGGTGATACGTATGAGAAAAATGACAAATAGAACGTTTTAGTTTTTTTGTTCTTAAAAGGGACATTTTAAGCACCCTTTTAAAAATCTCCAATGTGGGGTGCTTGTGGCTCAGTGGCTCAGTTAGTTAAGCATCTGCCTTTGGCTCAGGTCATGGTCCCAGGACCCTTCTGAGTCCCACATCAGGCTCCCTGCTCCTCAAGGAGCCTGCTTCTCCCTCTCTGCCTGCTGCTCCTATCTCTCTCTGTCAAATAAACAAAAATAAAAATAAATAAAAAATAAAATTAAAATATACAATTGTACAATATAACTAAAAATACTAAAAACTTTTGAGTACGTCATTGGAGGTTTTATTCTTTATGGATGAAACACATTACCCATTATTTAGATATTAGAGGTTTTTATGCCAATTTTTGTAACAACAAAAAGCTTCACTCTACTTTCCACATTCTCTGCTATCATACACACTGCATTTCTTAGGCTACTCGTTCCTTTAAGAGCTACATAGTAATGCATCTCTAAGTCACATTACTTGGAAACATAGTCCACATTACTCCTATAGCAAGATGGATCACCTGAACATGGCTTCTTACAGTAATACCTGCCTAGTCATGTATATGTGCATGTTTTCTTTGGTATTTTTGTAACTTGATTTAGAAAATTATAACAGCAAGTAAAAATTCATATATATAAGTATGGGTTCTCATAATAAAAATTCAGTCACAAACCAGTTACTTAAAAATTAGAATGATCTTCTAGAAATTATATAGAAGGTGGTAAGTTAGTTGACAACCATATAAACCTATTTAGCCCAGAGGATAGGTAACCTATGGACCAATGATGTTCCCAACTGAATCACAATAAACACTTTAATTTCTATTCTAAAGTGCACACCTTTCTTTATGAGCACACCTCAGTGGTAATACGTGTTTCCGTTTGTAAGCCAGGAGAAGATAAATATGGTTATCCAAGGCAGAAGAGTAGTAGCTTCCTAGCTACATCTTGGAAGCCATCATGATTAGGGTCATTTCTATTCTGGTAGACCTACGTGCTAATGCCAGTGTTTCAAAAGAATGGGGGGAACCGTCTACTCCCAACTCAAATTCTACTCAGCCATATTGTCTGATATAACTCACCAAAGATTATTACATGAAATATAGTTGACAGCATAAAGATACTCCATAATACAACAGAAGCAATATAAGAGGATCCCAAATTTGTTGGATATAAATTAGCTTTCACTACTATGATTCCAGAGTCAAAAAATAAGTAAATAAAACAAAATCCTTCTTAGAAGTTAAAATCCAAACGTCTTAAAGATGAAATCTTCAAGAGCCAAAGGACAAAGAAGACATACTTTTTAAAAAAACTTTTAGTCAGTCTGTTACTATTTTTAAATTCATTACAAATAGATGTACAAATAGTACACCTCTTTATTGCTTACATGCAGGGCAGATAGGGCAGACATCTTCGACTGCCTTGCCCTTGGCATGATGCTGCTGTTTTTTGACATATAACTGCACAAACAATGATTGTAAGTATAGCTCAAAAAGTTATCCAAGGAGGCACCTGGGCAGTTCAGTCGGTTAAGCATCTAACCTCAGCTCAGATCATGGGATCAAGCCCCATGTGCTCAGCAGAGAGTCCACTTCTCTCTTAGTCTCTGCCCACCCTCGGATCCCCCACCCCCATTGTACACTCAGGCATGTTCTCTCTCTCAAATAAATAATCTTAGAAAAAAAAGAAGAAAAAGAATCAAAAAACACAAAAGAATGAATAATGCAAAGGGAAGCTGCCTGCTATTTAATATTTAAGAAAAAGCCAAGAGGCGCCTGGGTGGCTCAGTTAAGCATCTGACTCTTGATTTCAGCTCAGGTCATGATCTCAGGGTGGTTAGAGAAGATTCTCTTTCCCTCCCTCTGTCCCATTCCCTAAAAAAAAAAAAAAAAAAAAAAAAGCCAAGAGACCCCTTCTGAGTGATATTTAGTGGTAAGCGTAACTACACTTATTTCAGGGTCTCCCACTGAGAAACATGGTGATGTTTCTCCTGCACTCTACCCATCTGTTGTTGGACTTGTTTTGTAACAAGTTTGCAGATACTGGCTAGAACTGGGCTGTGGTAAAACATGTCTAAAGAGTGTCTCCTGTTCTGCTACTGTGTAAAGCAAAGACTGTAGTTACATTTTAGCAATAATGTTTACCTGTGTAATGAACATTTTTTTAATCCTCTGTAAATGTTACATCTGTAACCTTTTTTTTAATCCTCATTATCTTGAAATAGGTAACATTAAGCCATTAGGTAACATTTAAAACTCTCATTAGTTATCTCACTTTTTAAAAAATTAAATATGATCTTGCATCCACGATAGAACGTAACCTCGAAAGATTTTCCCAAAGAAACAGAAAACTATTGGGCACCTGGCTCAGTCAGTGGATCATGTGACTCTTGATCTTGTAAGTTCAGGCCCCACATTGGGTATAGAGATTACTTTAAAAATAAAAATCTTTGGAGTGTCTCGGTGGCTTAGTCAGTTAAGCATCTGCCTTTGGCTCAGGTCATGATTTCCGGGACCTGAGATCAAGACCCCTGTCAAGCTCCCTGCTCATCATGTTCAGCAAGGAATCTGCTTCTCCCTCTCCCTCTGCCTCTCCACCGCCACCCCCCAAGCTGCTCATGTTCTTTTCCTTCAAATGAATAAATAAAATATTTCAAAAATAAATAAAAATCTTTAAAAGAAATAAGGAGTGGGGGAATTGAGTGGATAATGGGCATTAAGGAGGGCACTTGATGTAATGAGCATTGGGCATTATATGTAACTGATGAATCACTAAATTCTACCCCAGAAACTAGTAATACAGTGTACGTCAACTAATTTGAATTTAAATACAAATTTTTTTTTTTTTTTTTTTTTAATGGGCACCTGTTAAGCATCTGGCTCATCATTTCAGCTCAGGTCATAATCTCAGGGTTGTGAGATCAAGTCATCATCAGACTCCATGAGGTGTCTGCTTGAGATTCTCTCCCTCTCTAAAAAATAAATAATATCTTTTTTTAAAAAAAAGAATTAGGAAATAGCATTATGGATAATAAGGCTATTTTTCACAGAGAACTTTAGAATTCCTAAAGTAACTTTAAAGGTGGGCAAGACCATTTGATCTGTTGGAAAGTTACTCTTGCTAATGAAAGATTATAATAATTAACTGTTAATATTAGGATTTTTCTGAAATTTGTGAAGTCAAATGACTTTTACTTATTTGCCCTAGTGTAGGTCCTCAGGCCAAGAGTCAATAATGTTAAGGTCTCCTGGAGACCCAGGATCGAGTCCTACGTCAGGCTCCCTGCATGGAACCTGCTTCTCCCTCTGCCTGTATCTCTCATGAATAAATTAATAGAGCCTTTAAAAATAATAATGTTAAGGTCTTTTAAAGAGGAAAGGTAATTGGGAGGCACCTGAGTGGCTCTGGGTTTTGTCAGGCTCTTGATTTTGGCTCAGGTTGTGGGATCAAGTCCTGTGTTGCACTCTGCACTCAACATAGTCTGCTTGTCCCTCTCCCTCCCTCTGTGCCCCTATCCCCACTCATGTGCACTCTCTCTAAAATAAATAAATCTTCTAAAGGAATAAAGAGGAAAGGTAATTACTGTTTGTTTCTTTTAATTTTGAGGAATCTCTATGACTAGCTCCTGTTAGAAACTATTTGGGGCCTTAAAAGTATCAATCCAGACCCCAGAATCTGGTGAAAGGAAAAAAATATTAAAGCACAACTGCATTACCTGTAAGTTAAGCCATTTATTGTGCTGTTTTTTTATGTATATTCTAAAGTGAAAGGGGAAATGTGGTTCCACGTTCTTTGTGTCTGTCCATCTTCTCAACTTGTGTTTTAAAGCAATATGGGTTATTTTTTTTTAAAGCAATATGGGTTATGTTGCATAGTTGTGCATTGTAAGAATAGCTCACATTGGCTTTTATTAAACTAGAAAGTAGATAGAAAGTATAAAGTATGTAGCTGCTACCCAGACCATTGCTTACCTTAAAAGTTAGTAGACAGAATATACTGCTTCTTGAACCCTAAGAGATCCTTCCCTTTTAGACTTCTCACAGAAAAATACAACTTTCTTTCATTTGGACATGTGATGAAAATTAGTATTAATTTGCTTGGGTGATTGGTGCTGGGAAAATGTAGGTCTTAGAAAATACTGTTTTTGTTCCCTTAAACTTTTTATGTAACTTTTTTTCTGAAACCTCATCTGAAATTAGGGTGTTACTATGCATTCACTCTAGCAGGAAGCTTGTAGAATGTTATTAAATGAACTGGTTGGGGTTTTTATCTACCATTCCTTTATATGTGGGCTAAAATGACTTCTATTGATAACTACTACCCAAAGACCTCTTGAGCTTTCCATGTAAGAAAATGATAAAATTGAAAAACTAAGTCAAAATTAACTTTTGGCTAAGTTGGGATGCTAAAAGGGAATACTTCAGGGAATGGTCATCTCATTTTTTGATAGGAAAGAGGCAGAACTGTACAATCTTGAAAACCTTAATTTAAAGGAATTGTAGATAATTTTAAGAAGTAATTTAATGAGATTTTATTGAATGCAATAGCAAATTATATTTCGTTAGAAATACCTATAGTTCTCTGAAAAGGAGTGCTAATTAACTGCCACTAACAAGACTGGCTTATTTTTCAAAAAAGGAATGAATTAGATCATACTTCCTAAAATGCTATTTCATTCCAAAATTGTTGATACAAGTTAAGATGAAAGGAATGGCTTACTAGTAGGCCATTTGAATACTTTAGAATCTCTTTGCCCTAATTTTTTTTTTCTTTGCCCTAATTTTAAAAGACTGTGAGCTTTTAGAATATGAAGGCAGAGGGGGCAATAGGAACCCAGCAGGGATGGGGCTGGATTCAAGTCTGAACAGCTTTCCAGGAAGTTTCTGAATGTTTTTTATAGCTGAAATACTAATTTTATTGCCAAATTTTATTCTTTAATTTTAGGTAAACAAGTGAGAACCAAACTTTCACAGGCATTTAATCATTGGCTAAAAGTTCCAGAAGATAAGCTACAGGTATTTAGCCAAATCTAACCTTGTTCTTAATCCCTAACGAATTAATAGGTGTCACATAAAATACTTCTTGCTCTTAATTGAGTTTAATGCTGATAAATGTATTATTTTATATTGAGATTGCTATATAATTACTCACTGTAAAAACTAAGGAATCCAAGACTTTCATAACGTTAATTAAATACTAGTGTTTTGAATACCTCAAATAAAATGAAACTGTCATTGTCTTTTTTGTTAGATTATCATTGAAGTGACAGAAATGTTGCATAATGCCAGTTTGCTCATCGATGATATTGAAGACAACTCAAAACTTCGACGTGGCTTTCCAGTGGCACACAGCATCTATGGAATTCCATCTGTCATCAATTCTGCCAATTATGTATATTTTCTTGGCCTACAGAAAGTCTTAACCCTTGACCACCCAGATGCAGTGAAGCTTTTTACCCACCAGCTTTTGGAACTTCATCAGGGACAAGGTCTAGACATTTATTGGAGGGATAATTACACTTGTCCCACTGAAGAAGAATATAAAGCTATGGTGCTGCAAAAGACAGGTGGACTATTTGGATTAGCAGTAGGTCTCATGCAGTTGTTCTCTGATTACAAAGAAGATCTGAAGCCACTACTTAATACACTTGGGCTCTTTTTCCAAATTAGGGATGATTATGCTAATCTACACTCCAAAGAATACAGTGAAAACAAAAGCTTTTGTGAAGATCTAACGGAGGGAAAGTTCTCATTCCCTACTATTCATGCTATTTGGTCGAGACCTGAAAGCACCCAGGTGCAGAATATCTTGCGCCAGAGAACCGAAAATATAGATATTAAAAAATACTGTGTACATTATCTTGAGAATGTAGGTTCTTTTGAATATACCCGGAGTACTCTTAAAGAGCTTGAATCTAAAGCCTATAAACAAATTGATGCACGTGGTGGAAACCCTGAGCTCGTAGCTTTAATAAAGCACTTAAGCAAAATGTTCAAAGAAGAAAATGAATAATAAGCCATTCTTGATTAGGCCTGGTAGCTTATTGTAGTTGACTATTTTTTTTGTCTTTTAGCCTATTGCTTTTTTAACAACTTGGACCAAGCTGTCAGTCTCCAAAAGTGGATAGGGGTGATGTGAGTAAGGTTGTTTCAATTTATAACCCCTTTGCACAGATAATCATAGTACAAAGTTGGAGGAATCAAAAGGAACCACATTTAAATAGGTTTTATTTGAATGTCAGAATGTGCTGTGTTTGGACCTTATGGACAACTGCCACAAACGTTCTGTTGATTCCGTCAATAAAGAAGACTTCAGCTTCCAGGAATTTTTATCCAAATACTTCCTAACTGTACTGTGTGGGCAGTTCCTCATTTGTCTACCCCAGTTCCAAGCCAGTGACTCCTTGGGGCCAGTTTCTGTAGCTAGCTAGCCCAGAGACCACTGGACCTCCTCTTTCTTCCTAAATGTTGCTACTTAGAATATCTCAGTCTCCTCTTGGAAACTCCCTCACTAAAGTCTTCCATGAAAAAGCTGACTATGGTAAGCATTAAGCAAAGGGGGTCCTTTTTCTTACCCCCTTCCTTTTTTTCTTCCTCCCTGCCCAGCAAATTTTGCTCTTTAACCAAGGAGTCTCCACTTAATGAAATTTATATGCTAGCCCAAATTCATTCTTTTTTTCCTTTTAATCTGTGACCCAAAACATTACTATCCGCGTACAGCAGTGTCTTTCCATTTAGGAAGGAAAAAAAAAAAAGTACATGGAAAAAGTATTCTAGGAAGGAGCCTTTATTTAAGCTTTTTTATATTTTCCTATCAGTAGTAAAAATCATAAAAGAGCTGTTTGCAAGGAGCTTTTGCTTAAGTACAAAAGCAGAGGGAAATGCTCTCTTCCTTGCCATTCACGTCACCACTCCCCCTTTAAGGCAGTTGGTGCTTGAATGGAAAGGGAAGTAGGTATCCTTAATCTCTGTGATTAAAGGAATGAAAAGTGTTAACCTGAGAGCTAGTGACTGACTGAAAAGTAGTCAAAGCTATGCTATCAGGCACTAATTAGCTTTATAGTGCTTTAACCCTGACTCTCTATCCCTTTTGTGTAATTTCCACCTCCAAACCCCTGGAACCATCTGTGGCAATAAGAGGTAGGGGGGATAAAAACAATCACCCTGATTCCTTCGTTTAGAAGTGTTGCTGACCTCCCAAAATGAAACTTTTCCAGAAACCTTGCATTTTGTTTGAGTGGTTCTATTATAGTATATTAAATCAGAACTAATCACCATGTCCTTGTATGAGAGATTATCACTGAAGCCCTCAACCTAAATTTTTGAAAAGTTGATTATTCCATTTACTAGCTTTTAATCTTCCATTTGAATCTTCCATTTTAAGTGATATAAAGAAAACTTAAAATCATGGGTATTTATGCTGCATTATGGAAACTTGAACTTTGTGTTTATGAATCTGTTACTTAAAAGCTTAATGATTATTCAAGAAGATCTAACACTATATAGACAAAATATTTACCTTTAAGATGAAGGCTCCTTACCTAATCAAATTAAGTTTGGCCTGGTACTATTCATGATTCTTTGTCATTTGTATCTGGCCTTTGTTGATGACAGAAATGCTTGACCTTGAGTTGGGGACTTTACAAAGCATCATTTGATCCATTAATCAAAAATCTATTCTTTTCACTTGAGCTATCATCACAGTTTGTCAATACAGAAGGAAAACAATGTAAGAGTAGTTAAAAGTTTAATAAAATGTAGTAATTTACTTAGTTTTAAACTCCAGTAATTTTTTTTTTTTTTGTAAAAAGGTATATCTTGGAACACAAGTAAATTAGGTCTTGTCATGTAGAAAACCTGTTTTAAATTTTAAAATGTTTTCACATTTTCTAGTCTTTGGAGGTTGAAAATTTTCTTTGCCAAAGCCAAAAGAATAAAGGCTAAATCAGGTTGCCATGAATCGCTTTCAGAAAGATTTTAAATCCATTAGCTCTTCTCTATTCCATTCTGTTAACTTTTTTTTTTTTTTTAAGATTTTACTTATTCAGGAGAGAGAGAGAGAGAGAGAGGAGAGAGAGAGAGAGAGAGAGGAGAGAGAGAGAGAGAGAGAGAGGAGACAGAAACTTAAGCAGAGGGAGAAGCAGGTTTCTCACAGGAAGGAAGCCCAATGTGGGACTTCATTCCCAGACCCTGGGATCATGCCCTGAGCTGAAGGCAGAAGCTCAACTACTGAGCCACCCGGGCGTCCCCACTCATCTTCTAACTTCCTTTCTTCAACTGTGCCCTACAGTTATTCACTTCAGGAAGCCTTTCAAGGGCTTTCTCAGATCACTTTCCATCTTCCTTTAGGCCCCTTCTCATCCTGCCAGTTGCCAATCCTGGATGCTTCCAACCACCTGCATCTTTGCTCCTCCCACCTTGCTCAAAGCTGCTGGGGAGCCTCTCCAGATGCTGTTAACAACCATCACAAGTTAATATGTTAGGACCTCAGTTAAGCCATTTTATTGTTTAATCCTGATGGAGATTGCACATTTGTCAATCTAATGTCCCCTGCTTCTTTTCCAGTCTCTTCCCAGTTAATGGAAACTGCAAATTTTCCTCTATTTCTTAGGTCTATCTTCAAATTGTCTGCTTTTCATCTCGAGAAAAGTTGTTTGTCCTCATGCCCTTTGCCAAGCAAGCCCTCCTGTTCTTGATTCCCTCCCTTTCTGCCTCTTGGGGGTCTATTCAGCCCCCTGCCTTATGTCCTCAAGATTTATCCATTGGCTCTTTTTTAAATCAGTGTATTCAGAGAAAGGAAAAGGGGAAGGAAATGTACATATATGAAGTACTTATTAGGTACCCAATGATTTGTTTTCTTCAAGCATTTGCTGAGCACAGCTGGGACCTTAAAAAAAGTTAAGCACGTTGTTCTGTACAGCTGGCCTCCTATATGCATACTTAAATGTGTTTAAAAGTTTGGAAAGCACTCGTCTATTGTAATCACATACACTCCAACCAAAGTGGTCTTTCCAAAGCATAATTCTGATGGTCATTCCCATGTCTTACATTTGCTGGTTTTTGTTTTTTTTTTAAGAAGGAATTATTTATTTAAGGATTTTATTATGTATTCGAGAGAGAGCATGAGCGGGGAGGGGGGCGGAGGGAATGGGAGGGAGGGCAACGAGAGAGGGAACCCCAGCATGGGGCTCAATCCCAGGACCCTGAGATCATGACCTGAGCTGAAGGCAGATGCTTAACTGATTTAGCCACCCAGTGCCCCAGGTTTGTTTGTTTTTTCAGATTTTATCTGTTAGAGATACCATGTGAACAAGGAGAAGCAGATGGAGCGGGAGAGAGAATCTGAAACAGACTCCACACTCAGTTTGGGCAAAGTCCAACACTGGGCTGTTTCACACCCCGTGAGGTCATGATCTGAGCTGAAACCAAGAGCAAGACACTTAACTGAGCCACCTGAGTGTCCCTCTTACATTCTCTTTGAATCTTCAGTACAGCCACCTATATAAATCCCTTGGCATAACATATAAGGCTTTCCAAAATCTGATCTCCAACCCACCATAATTAACCATGTTTCCTAATGTTTCACACTCACCACAAGGTTTAATTAAGCTCTGCCATAAAATAGTGTTCATCATTGCTGAGATCTATTTTCATTTGATTCGTTATTATTTTTCACTTGAGCTATCATCACAGTTTGTCAATACAGAAGGAAAACAATGCAATTGTTCAATGTTTCAATGAAATTATTATCATTTATTCGTTACTATTTCCTGGATGCCTATATGCTAGATTCTTTGCTAGGCTTTGGAGATAACAAGAGTGATAAAGACACTATTCCTTAACTTTGTGATTTTTCTGGGATGGAGACTAGTAAATAAATAGCCAATTATTAAACCGCATTGTTAGTACTAGAATCAGGGCCTCTAATTATTTACTTGTCTGCCTCTCCCATTGGATTGGAAACCCATTAAGGGCAAGGACTGTTACTTATTCACCCTTGTATTCCCAGAAGCACTTAATAAATATTTATGAATGAATAAATCTACTTGAAACTAATCTCCCCCACCCCTCAAGGGTTCCATTAAAATAACAAATGTGAAAAGATAACATAAACTTCAAATGTTAGTTTTTGTGTTAATGTGGTTCTACCTCTTAATTTTTTCTTAAATTCTTATTCCATATTCTGTTCGCTTCTGAAAGAATTCATAGACTGCTTACTGTTTTGTCCGTGACTACCATTTTTATCTGAAGCCTGACCTCAAATTCAAGTCCTTTAACTGCCTAGTCACTTGATCTTTCCATCATCACCTTCCAGTAACATAATTAAAACCAACCTATATTTCCATTCCTATCCCTTTACCAATCCAAGCAATGAAATGAAACAACTTTGCTGCATTTTCTGTCACAATCTTTATGCTTCAAGTGATCCAGGAATGTGTATTTTATTTACCCCCATCTCCTCCATCTATCCAGTCCTCCCAAGTCCTATAGATTTGTCCTTTGAAATGTCTCTTGCCTGACTCCCTACTTTGCATTTTCCCTGCCAGAACAAGCTTTGTTGGGATGCCTGGGTGGATCAGTTGGTTAGATGTCTGCCTCCACCTCAGGTGGTAATCCCAGAGTCCTGGGATTGAGCCCCACATCGACTTCCCTGCTGGGTGGGAGGCCTGCTTCTGCATGCGCTCCCCCCTGCTTGTGTGCTCAGTCAAATAAATAGATAAAATCTGGGGATCCGTGGGTGGCTCAGCGGTTTGGTGCGAGTACCACATCAGGCTACCTGCTGATGTGAAGGAGCCTGCTTCTCCATCTGCCTGTGTCTCTGCCTCTCTCTGTCTCTCTCATGAATAAATAAAATCTTTTAAAAAATAAATAAAAATAATAGATTGAATCTTTAAAAAACAAAAAACTGTTGCTGATATTTGGTGGTTACAATACAGAAAACGAATCATCGTAATGGACCCCACAATAATGTGAATTCAGATATAATGCAGTTGGCATTCGGCTTCTCGACCACCCCCCCACCCCCCCGTGCACGTGCACACACAGACATACACACCCCTCCAGCTGGCTATTAACAGACTTCTGGTTTTTTCATTAATCTTACAGTAAGGCAACTTCACATTTTATGTGATTGAATATAATGGACCTTAACAAGTAGTACAGCTTATTTTTACTGTATACTAGCTAGTAAAATATATAGTTGTGTAATAAGCAATAGTGTTAGTAATGTAAGTTATGTTAATGTTAGTAAGTGTAAGTAATGTAAGTTTCAATATTAACCCATGAGTTCAACTTAATTGTGTAGAATGTTTTATGACCATTGATTAATGGGCATCTTTTCATGGAGATGTCTGGGAAACCTTTGTAGCACTAGTTGCTGTATTATGTGCATTCTTTTTTTTTTTTTAAGATTTTATTGTTTTTTTAATTTTAGTTGGGGAGAGAGGATGGAGAGAGAATCCCAAGTGGACTCCATGCTGAGCGCAGAGACCAACAAGGGCCTCGATCCCCTGATCTTGAGATCATGACCTAAGCCTAAACCAAGAGTCAGACGTTCAACTGACTGAGCCACCCAGGTGCCCCTATGTGCATTCTTTATAAAGCACTGTATGCTCTAGGAGAATTACCCATTAATTACCCTTGAATTATATTTATTACTGTACATAGAGAAAGAAAATTGTATCTGAAGATCTGAGAATTGGTTAAATGAATAACGGAAGATTTATTAGTGAGCTGCAAAAGTGATCTGTATATCTTACCAAAACTTTGTAAAGTCACTTAACAGAAATTATAAAATATGACTAAACACCTGGAAAGTAAAACCTTTAAAGAGAGTAATTGTAATAAGTTATTTTTTTAACAGATGTCAGTGTTTTACAAGAAAGAAATGATTTATTAAAGCTGACAGATTGACTCTTGATCTCGGGGTCATGAGTTTGAGCCCCATGTTGAATGTAGAGATTACTTTAGAAACAAATTTTAAAAATTATTTTAAAAAAAAAGCTGACAAATTAAGTCAAACATAAAGAATTGGACATATAAAACTAAGTAAAGGAAACTGAAAATGAAGCAGTTCAAACCAATAATAATATGTCCCTTGAAACAAATAAGCAATTCCAAGAGACAAACTAAAAGATTTTCTTATTTTTAAAGACTTTATTTAAGAGAGGGAGCATGAGAGAGAGTACACGCAAGTACCAGCAGAGGGAGAGGGAGAAGCAGACTCCCCGTTGATCAGGGAGCCCATTGCAGGGCTCCATCCCAGGACCCTGAGATAGTGACCTGAGTCAAAGGCAGATGCTCAGCAGACTGAGCCACCCAGGTGCCCCAAGACAAACCAAAAGATTTTCTAATAAGTTTTATGAAAATGCATTTGTGGTTTGATAACAGAAGTGAACATATAGTTTTTTTTTAAGATTTATTTATTTTAGAGACAGAAAGTAGGAGCTGAGGGAGGGGTAAATGGAGAGGGAGAGAAACAGACTCTCTACTCAGTGGGGAGCTGACACAGGGCTCTATCTCATAATCCTGAGATCGTGACCTGAGCTGAAATCAAGAGTTAGATGCTTAATTGACTGAGCCACCCAGATGCCCCATGAACACATGATTTTTAAAAGTTTCTTGAGTTTATTGAATCCTAAACTTGGCTAATTAAAGTTTGTAAAGCTCTGGATTGAAAATGAATAAAAAAGGAAAGCATTCACTAAATGACTTAGCACTAAAGATATTAAATGTATACCGTTTAGGCAGTATTATAAGGCTTAGAAAGAATATAACTGTGGATAGTAAAGAGGAAACCAAGATAGGATTTCAGCACCACAAAGAATGTCATTAATATCAAGAAATTCTCAATTTGTTGGGACCGCAGGTCCCATATAGCTATCAATTTAAATAGGAAGTTGTTGGAAGAATTTATTGCAATTAACTGGGCTTTATCATGCCTCCAACAGGAGTATCATTTAGCAAAGTGACTACTACAACAAACAAACCAATAATTTCTTCCCAGCTTAGAATACCATCATAGTATATATGGACAATTCATGTCACCTAACTTGTTTTCTTGGAATCCTGTCTCTTCTTAAAGCCCATGCTGCACACAACTGCCAAATTAATCTAATCATTTGCTTTCATTTTATGTCTGCTCAAAAATTATATCCTTACAGGACACTTTATTTTTTCAAAAAGATTTTTATTTGAGAGAGCACAAGAGAGAGCAGAAAGCACAAGCAGGGAAGTGGGGGAAGAGGGGCAAAGGGAGAGAGAGAGAAGCAGACTTCCCATTGAGCAGGGAGCCTGATCCCCAAGATCATGACCTAAGCCAAAGGCAGATGCTTAACCACCTAAGCCATGCAACACCCCTTAGGACAAACACTTTAGCTTCACAGTCAAAGCTCCCTATAAGCAGCTTCCAGGCTTGTCTCCTACCACCATACCTTTTTTAAAAAAAAAAAATATTTATTTATTCATGAGAGACACAGAGAGAGAGGCAGAGACACAGGCAGAGGGAGAAGAAGCAGGCTCCATGCAGGGAGCTCGATGAGGGACTCGATCCTGGGATCGCAGGATCATGACCTGAGCCAAAGGCAGACGTGTAACCGCAGAGCCACCCGGGCGTCCCCCACCACCATACCTTTACTTAACCTAAGCCCACCTATTTCATTCTCCTCTACCTATAGACATTATGCACATTTCTGCTTTAAAGCCTGTACTCGGGGCTTTAACCAAGAAGAACAACAAACAGGTGTGTTTGTCAGCTATAACCTTCAGAGCACAGACGGTAACCTCTGTTACTTGTAGGAAACAGGATCACGGAAATGGAGGCTTTTCTGGAAAAGTGCTAGCGGAGGGCACACGGCATGGTGACACTTTCACCCTATTCTGCCTAATCCTGTCTCTGCTCCACAGCTGTATATAGCCTCTGTGTCCTGCCTTCCCAAACAGAAGCCAAAGGGACCCAGAGGTTGCTGGGTCCTCCTGCTACAGCCAAGGATAATGTGTGCCCTCATTTTGGCCAGTTGGATTCTGCTTGCAGGGAGATTCTTCTTTTTTCTTTTCCTTTCTTTTCTTTTCAAGTAGACTGGACACCCAGCATGGAGCCCACTGCAGGGCTTGAACTCTTGACTGTGAATTCCAGATCTGAACTGAGATCAAAAGTCAGATGCTTAACCGACTAAGTCACCCCAGGTGCCCCTCCAGGGAGATTCTTCAGTGGAAATAAACTTTTGGGAGTCCACTCATCTAGCACCCGACTCTGACCAAATGACTAATAGTACTGTTATTTTCTGGTTCTTGTTATTAGGTATGTGTCCTGAACCTGAACCTGAACCTGGTGGTCCCTTCAGTGAATTCCCTTTGTTCTTAAGGTAGGCTGATCTCCATGCTATAAGAAGAGAAAAGCAAGAAGGCACAAGATGGCTTAAGAGACTGTTATAGTAAATTGCCATTGTGTGAAAAAGAATGAAATAAAATAATTTACATAAATTATTCCTAGTATGGAACCAATGGACAGAAACTGTGAAATAGGAGAAGCAAGAGAGACTTTTCGCATTAAACCATTTATTACTGTTGACTTTTAATGTGTGAATGTATTATCTATTCAAATATTGAAAATCTTACAAATGAAAGCACCAATAAACAAGAAATATTATCAATAAGATAATTTTTTTAAGTTGGCTACTTATTGGGGTGCCTAGGTGGCTCAGTCGGTTAATCTGACTCTTGATTTTGGCTCAGATCATGATCTCAGGGTCCTGAGATCAAGCCCCAACCACCCCGCTCCCCCAGTCAGGCTCCTCCTGGGCATGGAGTCTGCTTAAAATTCTCTCTCCCTGGGGCACCTGGGTGGCTTAGTGGTTGAGCAACTGCCTCTGGCTCAGGTCATGATCCCAGGGTTCTGGGATAGAGTCTTGCATCAATCTCCCCGTGGAGAACCTGCTTCTCCCTTTGCCTGTATCTCTGCCTCTCTCTGTGTGTCTCTCATGAATAATAAAATCTTTAAAAAAAAAAAAAAAGATTCTCCCTCTCCTTCTGTGCTTCCTCCCTACTTGTACTCTTCCTTGTGTGTGTGCACGCTCTCCAAAGAGAAAAAAAGAAAAAGTTGGCTACTTACATTAGGTATTCAGATAAGACTTCTCTGAGGAAGTAGCAGTTAAGCTGAACTCCGAATGACAAGAAATTACCCATACATTGATCCTGGTGAAGAGCTATCAAAACAGAAGATCTTCAGGTGAGAAAGAGCTTTGTTGATACATACAAGATAATGAATGTAGGGGCCAGATTATGTAGGGCTTTGTAAACCACAATAAGGATTTTAGCTTTTTTCTTAAGATTTTATGTTTTAAAGGTTTTATTTATTTATTTATTTGAGAGAGAGAGAGAGAGAGAGAGAGAGAGAGAGAGAGCAGGAACACAAATGGGGAGAGAAACAGAGGGAGAGCGACAAGTAGACACTGTGCTGAGTGCAGAGCCTGACATGGGCCTCAATCTCACAGCCCATGGCCCTGATCATGACTTGAGCTGAAATCAAGAGTCAGTCACTGAATCGACTGACCCACTCAGGTGCCCCTTTAAGATTCTATTTTTCAGTGATCATTTACACACAACATGGGACTTGAACTTCCAACCCTGAAGTCAAGAGTCACATGCTCTACTGATGGAGCCAGCTAGATGCCTCAGGATTTAATAAGCTTTTAACGAAAGTGCAAGTGGGAAGCCAATGGAGTGTTTCAGGAAGAAGGGTAACTACATTTAATTTTTATTTATAGAAGATTATCCTGACATCTGAGTAGAAGATGAATTTATAGAGGGCTAGGAGAGGATATAAGGAGACCCACGAAGGCAGTGTTAGAGTGTTCCACCCTTGTTTAAGTGGTACTTAAAACAAGGGTGGGAGTGGGGGACACAGTATAAAGAGATTGAATTAGGATTATTTTGAAAGTGGAGTTGATAGGAGTTACTGATGGATGGCATGTTGAGTTAATGAAAAGAGGAATCAAGGTTGACCTCTAGATTTTAGATAAATTGAGTAGATAGTGGTATCATAAACTGGATTTAGGAAAACGGAAGGAACAATTAGAGATGCCTATGAGCTATCCTAGAAGAGATGTCAAGAAGACATTTGCATGCACAAGGTAAGATAGAGTTTCCAGGAAAGATCAAGCAAGGCTGGAAGTTGAACTTTGAGTTACTGACATGTAGATGATGTATAAAACCATTGGATTGAGTGACCTCACCTAGTGATAGTGTGTAAATAAAGAAGGGGTTCAGCACTGATCCCTGGACATTCCACTTTCAGGAATATATATATATTTTGAAACTGCTGTATTGATTCACATGCCATACAATTCTTTTGAACTATATAATTCAGTGGATTTTATTATATTCATGGAGTTATGTAACCATCACCACAATCTAATGTTGGAACATTTTTGCTTCCTCTAAAAGAAACCCTATTGACATTAGCATTCACTCCCCATACCCTCTACTTCACCTCCCAGCCCCCACCCTAGGCAGCTACTAATCTACCTTCTGTCTCTATAGATTCACCTATCCTGGACATTTCATATAAGTGGAATCATACAGCATGTGGTGTTTTGTGTCTGGCTTCTTTCACTTAGCATGGTGTTTTGAAGGTTAATCCATGTTGTATCACAACTTCATTTCTTTTTAAGTCTTAGTAATGGTCCATTGCATGGATAGACCACATTTTGTTTATCCATGTGTCAGCTGATGGGCGTTTTGGTTTCTCGTACTTTTTAACTATTATGAATAATGTCGCTATGGACATTTGCATATAAGTTTTTGTGTAGACGTATTTTTTTCATTTCCTTTGGGTAATGTTATGGATTAAGTGGTCATGTTCCACCCAAAAGTCATATTTTGAAGCCTCAACCTCCAATATTTCTGTATTTGGAGATAGGGCATCTGTGGAAGTAATTATGTTTAAAAGAGGTCATAAAGGTGGGGACCTGATCCAACAGGATTAGTGTCCTTATAAGAAGCTTAGACAAGAGACAGCTATTTTCTCTCTCTCTCTCTGTCATGTGAGGACACAATGAGAAGACAGCCATCTGCAAGTCAGGAAAGAAGTGCTCATCAGGAATCAAATTTGCTGGAAACTTAACCTTGGACTTGAGCCTCCAGAACTGAGAAAATAAACTTGTTTATTTCCCTAAGCCACTCGATTTAGGGTATTTTGTTGGCAGCTCAAGCCAACAGTAACAGGTAAATCCTAGAAGTGGAATTGCTGAGTCATATGGTGACCTTGTTTTACATTTTGAGTAGGGAATATATACTTAAGATATAACCCCTTAGGTGTACAAAATCTATATAAAAATATATTTACTACAGCATTATGTATAATAGACAAAAGTAACAAATGTCCATCAACATAAATTGATTAAATCACAGTCTATGAGTGTGGCAAAACTATCTATATACTATAAGGATATATGAATATAGATGTAGATACTTATAAGTATTAGCAAAATACTTTTTTTCTTTTTTATTTTATTGATTTATTTCTTTTTTTTAAGATTTTACTCATTCATGACAGATAGAGAGAAAGAGAGAGAGGCAGAGACACAGGCAAAGGGAGAAGCAGGCTCCATGCAGGGAACCCCACGTGGAACTCGATCCCGGGTCTCCAGGATCACACCCTGGGCCGAGGGGGCGCTAAACCACTGAGCCACTGGGGCTTCCCTGATTTATTTATTTTACAGATTTTATTTATTTATTCATGAGAGAGACAGAGAGAGAGAGAGAGGCTGAGACACAGGCAGAGGAAGAAGCAGGCTCCATGCAGGGAGCCCAATGCAGGATTCGATCCCAGGACTCCAGGATCACACCCCAGGCTGAAGGCAGACACTTAACCGCTGAGCCACCCAGGCGTCCACCCAGCAAAAAACTTTTTTTTACCAATAGAGAAGTGTTATTGATCCATATCACATCGTACTATTAATAGCAAATAGAATTATAATGAAATATTATAAATAATTACATATTACCATAGTAACAGCAATAAAATTATTGGAATTAATTAGCAAAATGCTAAAATACATAATGAGACTTAATACTATGTTTAAGAATTAGGCCATAACTTACAGCTTATATTCAAGAGTTCTAAATTTTTTTAAAGACTTTAATGTCTGTATAGCACACAATGAAGAAAAAAGACCAGTTGGTTTCATTAATCAAATGGAGAAATAAATAAGCTGATGAAATATCAATAGTACCTGCCAACAAATTTCATACTAAAATTATTTGCTTTGGGACACCTGAGTGGCTCAGCAGTTGGGCGCCTGCCTTCGGCTCAGGTCATGATCCCGAGATCCAGGATGGAGTCCCGCATTGGGCTCCTGGAATCCCGCATCTGGCTCCCTGTGAGCCTGCTTCTCCCTCTGCCTGTGTCTCTGCCTTTCTCTCTCTGTCTGTGTCTCTCATGAATAAATAAAATAAAATAAAATAAAACAAAATAAAATAAAATAAAATTTGCTTTGGTAATTGAATTTGATAATATCCAACTATTTTTACTAAGCAAAATACTTTTTTTGAGATATTTGTGTTGTTCTGCCTCTCTTTTTCCCATCCTTAATTCCAGAAAGGTAGCCAGGCCATTTTGTGCTTTCTTGGCTCAGGTAAGTATTATGATTACCAAACTAAAAGAAACTTCTTGCAAGATACTTCCTTTTCTGAATTAATTTTCCTGAAGCCTGAGTCTGTGGAGGGAGTCAGGCTAGGTATCCTGGAAGAGGGCCACAGAAAAACGGAACAGTGACTTTAAGGGCAAAGAGAAAAGAAAAGAGAGGAGAGATTCTGGAAGGGGAACAAAAGCCAGGAGTTCCCATAATTGTTGCTAGTGTTCCAGGGGATGAGCAAGATTTTAGAGGATGGGCTGGACATCCCCTCTCCCTTCCATATGAATTTTTCAAGGACGCAAACATTCAGTCCATAAACCCAAGAGAAATGAAAAACATATCCAGGGACACCTGGATTGCTTAGTCAGTTAAGTGTCTGACTCTTGATTTTGACTTAAGTTATGAACCCAGGGTTGTGAGATTCAGCTCCCTGTCAGGCTATGTGCTCAGCACAGTCTGCTTGTCCCTCTCCCTCTGCTCTCCCCTCCTCATCTCTCTATCTCTAAAATAAATAAATAAAATCTTAAAAAATATATCCATGCAAAACCTTGTGCACAAATGTTCATAGCAGCATCCCCACGACAAGGAAGCAGAAAGGTGCTAGACTTTGAAGCTATTGTTATTCGCTTTAACAATAACTTGTCCATGGTGTTACAAAGCCTAGAAATGAGGTACCTACTAAATCTAAAAGCTGGTAAAGTGGCCCCAAGTCTGACTAAGATCAAATTTTCTGCTAGCCCTGTGAGAATAAGGTACCTCCTAAATCTAAAAGCTGGTAAAGTGGCCCCAAGTCTGACTAAGATCAAATTTTCTGCTAGCCCTGTGAGAATAAGGTAGAGGAAGAATATTCATCCTCTTCATGGGTGGCTCAGTCAGTTAAGTATCCGACTCTTGATTTTGGCAGAGGTCATGATCTCAGGGTCGTGGGATTGAG